ATAGATAGGGGCCTCGGGGGAAGGGATTCTCTGTCATCTTGGTGCTTTGGGGGGGGGGGTCAACAGTGGGAGGGCTTCTAATGTCCTGGCCCCACTGCTGGACCTCCTGATGGCACCTGGTATTTCTGGCCACTGTGAGACACAGAGTGTTGGACTGGATGGGCCTTTGGCCTGATCCAACATTGGCATCTCTTATGTTCTTATGTTTTGTCCTGAATCAAACCATTGGTCCACCATCTAACTTACGTTCTGACTGGCAGCCAATCTCCAAAGCCCCTCACAGCGGTCTTTCCCAGCACCACTACCTGAGTTTCAATCAATACTTTATTTACAGTCCATGACCAGAATACAAACCAGTAAGGAAAAAATAAAATTAAAAATGACCGTATAAAAATTAAGGTATGCAAATATAGAAGTGTATGAAACTAAATTAAAACTAATACTAATAGAAATACAGTCGTTTCTAACATTAAAATTCTAATATAGAATACAAACAGCTACTATCTTCCACGGTAAATTGGGAAATATATGTGGAACATAGTTTAATCGCTTGGGAGCAGAATTTAGCAACTTTCCGGGTGATCTCTCTGCTCACATCAGAGAGAAGTGTGTTAATGATCCCAGAGTTGGAGATGTCAGGACAGAGCTCAAGTAACGGGGAGATGAGGGCAGTACGATTTTCATTGTAGAAAGAACAGTGAAGAAAGACATGCGCCGCTGACTATCTCACCACTGTTACAAGGGCAAAATCTCGCAGACTGGGCAATTTTGTTATATCTGCCCTCAATAACCGAAGATGGCAAAGCTGAAAATCTAGCAAGAGTGAAAGCTCTTCTTTGATTAACATTTATGATATAACATTCATAATTAACGTTTATGAGGAGCAACAATAAAATTAGATTTTGATATGTCAGACTGACGTTCAGTGTCTTCCACTCTCTGTCTCAATACCTGAGATTCATTCAAGAGATGACAGAGATTAGAAGCATCTTCGTTTACTTTGTTTGTACCCCCCCTTTCTCCCCAGTGGGGACTAAAAGTCACTCACATCACTCTCCTTTCATCTATCTTATTCTCTTAACAACCCTGCGAGGTAGATTAGGCTGAGCGTGTGTGACTGGCCTCAAGCCAACCAGCCAGTTTAGTGTATCTGTAAGCTGCAAACCTACGATGACACAGCAGCAGCAGAACTGGAAGAAGCAGAAGACAAGACAGCCAGTTACTGCGGGCCTGATAGAAGCCCTCCGGGGGCCTGATCCAGCCCCCGGGCCGCATGTTTGACACCCCTGGTCTAGAGGCCAATTTGGGAGGAAAAAGCTGGGTCAGATACACCTGTAACCATTGAGTTAATATAAAAATTGAATAGCATGGGTGCCAGAATACAGCCCTGTTTGACACCACAGTAAGTAGGAACAGAGGCTGACAGATGTCCAGCACGGTTACAATTAACTCATAGCCATGTATTTTCATAAAGGCATCAGATGATAGGAGGATGTGAGGGCAAAAAAATGTTCCTGAATTTTCAGGAGCCCCCACCAAAGTCCCAAAACAGTAACAGGCATCCAGAAACTTAGGAATAACGAACAGCATGCACTCCCAGAAATCCATATCCATTCTTTTTTTTAAGCGTACACCTCTAGTTAAAACGCTAGAAAAGATCTGAGCCTGTTATCATCAGAGTCATCACTACTGTAGAGCCAGTAACCTCAAGTGGCACGATCCAAACACAGGCTGACCATGCCAGATCTTGCCTTCCTTGAAGACGATATTTGTGCCTACTGTAAAAGGAACATTTCAGCTTTGACTCAGTTTTATGCCCCCATCAGGACAACACGGCAAAAATTGGCTTGCTGCAGATAAATGTCCCATAGGTCATATTGGCTCCTTTGTTTAAACTGAACTCTGATGTATATTATGATTGACACTACTCCGTTTTGCTCATGCAAACCATCTTGTGGCATTAGGGTTGCCAAGTTGATCTTCGCCGGGAGCGGGGAGCTCCCGGCCAGCATCTGGTGCGTGCGCGCCACACGCACGTCACCCGGAAGTGACGGGAGGACACCGGGCACGCTGGGGGCGGGGCCACGGCCATACAAGGGAAAACTATAGAGTGCCCGGCGTCCTCCCGTCACTTCCGGGTGACGCACACGTCGGGGAGGAGTTCCCCCCGGGGCCCGATCCAGCACCGCCGGGGAACGGGCCTCTGGGGCGGGGGGACTTGGGATCCCTATGTGGCATTTTGTACCACTTTACTGATCTTTGAAATGTCCTTTTAAAACAACCGTTTGTTTCAGCACACGGCAGCTGGAGGGGAAGGTGGCGGCCAGTCGCTCGTTTCCCCCGGATCTTGCCTGGAAGATTTCCGTGCCACTCCTTTCATCGAATGCAACGGCGCCCGAGGAACCTGCCACTATTTCGCAAACAAGTACAGCTTTTGGCTGACCACAGTGGAACAGACCCAGCAGTTTGTCGAACCCCCCCTCTCGGAAACCCTGAAAGCGGGACATCTCCGGACACGGGTGGGCCGGTGCCAGGTGTGCATGAAGAACTTGTAGCCAAAGCTCCAAGCGGCAGATGCTGAGGAAGAAGCTCGCGTTCCCACTCGGCCAGAGATCAAGGAACACGCAGACCTCTTCCAGCTGCAGGACTGACCCTGAGGGACCCCTCAAAGCCAGGTCTACCCACAGCTGTGGCAGAGGGACCTCGCCCTCTAGGACTTATGTCTACATCACAAAACATGGTGCTACGTTACTTTCTTCCTGGCTACCTCAACACGTTTTTCTTTTCCTTCCCGGTAGCTGCATCTGACTCTTCTGTCTCAGTGAAATGCCGAACAGGGTTGAATAGGATTTCAGGTGGACCCTGAGAGAAAGTTCTCTCCAGGCTGTGGCTGTTAGGCAGTGCTTCATATGGTACAAAGTGAAACCTGAAGAGAATTGCACAAAAACGATTAGGCCAAAAGAAAAAAAGTTCTTGTAGCTTTCCTGTGTACACACAACCTCACCTAGTTTGGGCCTGAAGGAACCAGCACTGAAAAATTCCACACTTGCGTCAGACCGAACGTCCGTTCATCTTGTCCAGGATCTGTTTTCCCACAGTGGCCGTCCAGATGCCTTTGGGAAGCCCACAGTCGGGGCATAAAGAGGAAATAGCCCTTCTCTGCTGTTGCCCAACCAGGAACAGGTATTTAGTACCTGACGAAAGGAGCTTTGACTCTTGAAAATTCATACCCCAGAAATCTTCTTCGTCTCCAAGGTGCTACTGGACTCAGATTGCGCTCTGGTATTCAGTTGCACACTGTCTCTGAATCTGGAGCTTTCACTTAGTGGTTGCAACTAAGAGCCATCATAAGATCTACCCTGTGTGCATTTGTCCGGTGTCCTTGGGAAGTCATCGGAGGGGAGAACTGGATGAGACACGGGGAGTTCCAGGGTTTTTCCTGTACAAATCAGCAAAGCGAGGGCCCTGTTTGGACTTTGGGGAGGGGCCTTCCACTCTTGTGCCATTTTCCTGACTTCACATAGCCCCATGGAGCTTGGTTTTGCACCATTGGAGCAAACATACAGGTTCTGGATGTTAGCCTGATAGGGGAAATAGTGGCTGTCTGACCCCCAATCGAGAATGTTTCCTACATGCTTAATCACGTGGCTTGGGCAGTCCTCTGTTCTGGCTCACTTTCTTGCGCGAGCTGATTGGTATGTGCAAAGTCCTCTGCTGTTGGGTTTGTTTGATCTATAGCCTAACTTGGCTCACTTTCTTGGATTGTCTGCTAAAGTCTCTGTGACGGAGGTTAATCTCAACCTGAGTGTTTCCTATATGCTTTGTAGAGTATATTCTACACGCCACATTCCTGAATAATATGCCGCATCTATGTGCTGCATACGTGGCTCGATGCTTATATCTGAAACTGCACCCGTCTGCTTCACATAATTCGCTCTGCTGTCACCTTGTGCTTGTCATGTGGTTGTAGTCTGGGTGGTGATAGGTTGATATATGTTGGGTTAACGGAATTGGAAGGGGCCCAAAGGCCATCCAGTCTGACCCCCTGCGCCATGTGGGACGACTTGAAGCATCCCTGACGAATAATCATCCAACCTCTTCTTGTACACCTCCAAAGAGGGAGAACCCACAAAATCCCCAGACAACAGATTCCACCCCTGAACTGCCTTTATGGTTAAACAGTTTTTCCTAATATCCCCTCGATATCTCCCCACCTGTAATTTAAACCCATTATTATGAGCCCTGTCCTCCACTACCAACAGCTCCCTACCCTCCTCGAAATGACAGCCCTTCAAGTACTTAAAGAAAGTAGAAGAAGAAGAGATTGGATTCATACCCCGCCCTTCACTACCCAAAGGAGTCTCAGAGCGGCTTACAAACTCCTTTCCCTTCCCCTCCCCACAACAGACACCCTGCGAGGTAGGTGGGGCTGAGAGAGCTCTTTCCAGAACTGCCCTTTCAAGGACAGCTCTTGTCAGAACTATGGCTTGCCCAAGGTCATCCAGCAGCTGCAAGTGCTGGGGAATCAAGCTGTTTTCCCAGATTAGAGTCCGCGCACTGAACCACTACACCAAACTGGGTCTCATATCCCCCCCCAACCTCTTCTTCTCCAGGCTGAACATTGCTAACTCCCACAGCCTTTCTTCAGAAGACTCCGTCTCCAAACCCCTAATCATTCTCAGCACTCTCCTCTGCACTCACTGTGAAGTTTCTGTCCTTCCTATTTAAAAAACCCCTGGGTGACATTGCTTGGCATCAGAGGGCTTGTCAGCACATGCGGTAGTTGTATGCTTTGGATGAACTGAGCATTAGCTGAGGCTCCACCACCCCCACCTGCTGAGAGGGTTGGGGGGGGCTTGGTATCACAATAGTAACCAGACATCTTCAAATCCACTTGTGAAACTACTAGCCAGGTCGAGGAAGGTTGGGAGCTTTAGATGGCACATCTAAGAATATAGTTTCACCTCGAGTGGAAATCCACGTGCTACCCCTTATAGTAGCCGATACCAGAATCCATTCCAACTCCACGCCCCTTGCAATGGGTTGACAGTCTCAGCAACAGCCATTGGGTAACACCGACTCTTTCTCACCACTTGCATTATCTAAACTCAAGTGGAAATTTTCTATTTTCTTGGATTTTGTAGAAATACTTTGGCATTATATTTCAGAGGTAGCCTTGGAACTGTTGATACCTAAATATTTAATAGACTATTAAACACTTTAGGTTTATGCTGATGTTAACGGACATGGTGGTTGAATCTTTTATACAACTCAAACCATTTTGTTTTTCTTCTGCCAATCTATTTAAAAATGGCTTTTTAATGCACTGCTGAAAGCATCTTTGGGGCACTGACTGTATTTGCTATTTGTATTTTTTCCTCAAAGCCATAAAACAGAAAAGAATGCCAGTGTTGTGAATTGTGTCCCCTTCTTATTTCGACAGCAAAGGTGCTGACGTTGAGACCTTGTGTGAAATGCATCGTTAACCAAAGTAAAACGTGCCTCTTGCCTGAATGGGAAGTTGGTTCAAGAGCAGGAATTGCTCCCTGGACAAATCTGGAATGTGGAAGGAATTTACAGGCCAACATCTTGCTCCAAAGTAAACCATATTGAGTGTCATGGGAAAGGGGTGTTAAGGACCACTGGCTGGGATTTTGAAGACCCACAAGTCCATCTGATTCAGCTAGCAGTGTGTAGAAGAAGAGATTGGATTTATACCCCGCCCTTCACTACCCGAAGGTGTCTCAGAGCGGCTTACAAACTCCTTTCCCTTCCCCTCCCCACAACAGGCACCCTGTGAGGTAGGTAGGGCTGAGAGAGCTCTGACAGAAACTGCTCTTTTTCAAGAACAGCTCTTATCAGAACTATGGCTTGCCCAAGGTCATCCAGCCAGGTGCAAGTGGAGGAGTGGGGAATCAAATCCGGTTCGCCCAGATTAGAGTCCGCGCACTCAACCACGACACCAAACTGGCTCTCAGTGTAGTGTAGTGTCTGTAGCTGAGACCCAGGCTCTTCTGGGTCTCTTTCTAGAGGAAAGTTTTTCCCAGCACCTGCCTCTTGAGCCCTTTCACCTGGAGAGGCCAGAGCCTGGGGCTTCAGGGTACGACGCAGGTGCCGGCTTAGTGAACCACAGTCGTCCTTTCTGTGGGAGCGGCAGCCATCTGGATTGATGGCCTCAGCCAAGAAGAGGTGCTGAAGCAGTCCCCAGCTGTGCTTGCGGGCACCTTCAGTGTGGCCCAGGGACTGTGTAAGATGTACTCCAAATGCAGAGGGAGCTTGTTGATATGGTGCCATTAACAGGGCATCATACTTTACAGAACACAAGACCTCAGTCCCTGCGCCAGTCTAAAATGTAGCATGGAGAGAGGTGGTAGAACATACATTCATTCCCATCACACACTTAGGTCTTGTTTCAGCACGAAAAGGACCTGAACTTCGCCCAAATGGTCACCCCCTGAATAGCCGAACTAAAGAGGAACCAGCCATAGATGGAGCAGGTAACTTTCACTGGGTACGGTAAATCCAGACAACTCACAAAAACCTAGCTTATTAAATGTTTAAGAAATTTATTAGATGAACATGTAAAAGTGCCCATACAGTGGGGAAAAGTGTAAATGTTTCTTTTTTAAAAATAAATAAGATACAATTTAAATGAAAGACTCTTTGCTCAGAAACAAGAGTTTTAATAATGATTTGAACTTAAGGTCAAGGTGAAATGTGCAGAATGAGAATTACGGAGAAAGAGAGCAACCCCACCGAGACTCGGGCCTGGGTTTTCCCTCACAGCCAGCCTCCCTTGGTGTGGGTGGGGGGCTTGCACAAGGGGTGCCATTCAAGAGGCTGGTGGAGGGGTTGCCCTCCATATCCCCGGTTTCTTTATGTATCTCCTAGAAACAGGAGGACAATTGCAAAATCACATTGATTAGACACAGTTTCTGTTATAGAAACAAAGTGTGGTTGCGAGAACATTAAATATTTTCATGACATCAGTTTTCCTCCTGCATCTAAGAATATAGTTTCACCTCGAGTGGAAATCCACGTGCTACCCCTTATAGTAGCCGATACCAGAATCCATTCCAACTCCACGCCCCTTGCAATGGGTTGACAGTCTCAGCAACAGCCATTGGGTAACACCGACTCTTTCTCACCACTTGCATTATCTAAACTCAAGTGGAAATTTTCTATTTTCTTGGATTTTGTAGAAATACTTTGGCATTATATTTCAGAGGTAGCCTTGGAACTGTTGATACCTAAATATTTAATAGACTATTAAACACTTTAGGTTTATGCTGATGTTAACGGACATGGTGGTTGAATCTTTTATACAACTCAAACCATTTTGTTTTTCTTCTGCCAATCTATTTAAAAATGGCTTTTTAATGCACTGCTGAAAGCATCTTTGGGGCACTGACTGTATTTGCCATTTGTATTTTTTCCTCAAAGCCATAAAACAGAAAAAAATGCCAGTGTTGTGAATTATGTCCCCTTATTTCGACAGCAAAGGTGCCGACGTTGAGACCTTGTGTGAAATGCATCGTTAACCAAAGTAAAACGTGCCTCTTGCCTGAATGGGAAGTTGGTTCAAGAGCAGGAATTGCTCCCTGGACAAATCTGGAATGTGGAAGGAATTTACAGGCCAACATCTTGCTCCAAAGTAAACCATATTGAGTGTCATGGGAAAGGGGTGTTAAGGACCACTGGCTGGGATTTTGAAGACCCACAAGTCCATCTGATTCAGCTAGCAGTGTGTAGAAGAAGAGATTGGATTTATACCCTGCCCTTCACTACCCGGTGTCTCAGAGCGGCTTACAAACTCCTTTCCCTTCCCCTCCCCACAACAGGCACCCTGTGAGGTAGGTAGGGCTGAGAGAGCTCTGACAGAAACTGCTCTTTTTCAAGAACAGCTCTTATCAGAACTATGGCTTGCCCAAGGTCATCCAGCCAGGTGCAAGTGGAGGAGTGGGGAATCAAATCCGGTTCGCCCAGATTAGAGTCCGCGCACTCAACCACGACATTAACTGGCTCTCAGTGTAGTGTAGTGTAGTAACTGTAGCTGAGACCCAGGCTCTTCTGGGTCTCTTTCTAGAGGAAAGTTTTTCCCAGCACCTGCCTCTTGAGCCCTTTCACCTGGAGAGGCCAGAGCCTGGGGCTTCAGGGTACGACGCAGGTGCCGGCTTAGTGAACCACAGTCGTCCTTTCTGTGGGAGCGGCAGCCATCTGGATTGATGGCCTCAGCCAAGAAGAGGTGCTGAAGCAGTCCCCAGCTGTGCTTGCGGGCACCTTCAGTGTGGCCCAGGGACTGTGTAAGATGTACTCTAAATGCAGAGGGAGCTTGTTGATATGGTGCCATTAACAGGGCATCATACTTTACAGAACACAAGACCTCAGTTCCTGCGCCAGTCTAAAATGTGGCATGGAGAGTGTAGGTAGAACATACATTCATTCCCATTACACACTTAGGTCTTGTTTCAGCACGAAAAGGACCTGAACTTCACCCAAATGGTCACCCCCTGAATGGCCAAACTAAAGAGGAACCAGCCATAGATGAAGCAGGTAACTTTCACTGGGTACAGTAAATCCAGACAACTCACAAAAACCTAGCTTATTAAATGTTTAAGAAATTTATTAGATGAACATGTAAAAGTGCCCATACAGGGGGGAAAAGTGTAAATGTTTCTTTTTTAAAAAATAAATAAGATACAATTTAAATGAAAGACTCTTTGCTCAGAAACAAGAGTTTTAATAATGATTTGAACTTAAGGTCAAGGTGAAATGTGCAGAATGAGAATTACGGAGAAAGAGAGCAACCCCACCGAGACTCGGGCCTGGGATTTCCCTCACAGCCAGCCTCCCTTGGTGTGGGTGGGGGGCTTGCACAAGGGGTGCCATTCAAGAGGCTGGTGGAGGGGTTGCCCTCCATATCCCCGGTTTCTTTATGTATCTCCTAGAAACAGGAGGACAATTGCAAAATCACATTGATTAGACACAGTTTCTGTTATAGAAACAAAGTGTGGTTGCGAGAACATTAAATATTTTCATGACATCAGTTTTCCTCCTGATCCAGTTGATCTCTCAAAACAAGACAATGAAACAAGTTCCAAGATGCTGTCCTCGTGAAGGAACAAGAGGTAAATACAGTCCTTTCACCTCGACATCATGCTTTCGGCGTGAGCAGAAGTATTGCATCATACGACATGGACTAACAATAGCCATCCAAGGGTTCCAAAGCCTCCAAGGCGTTTAATTCCCAGCTGTAGCACAGAGGTTGTTACTCTGATAACATTCTTTTATCCCAAGAAGTATGTTTTCTTCAGAGATTATACTTCCTGGGGAGGGGAAATGCATGTCTCAGTCCAGGGTCAATTCTCTTCCCTGCTTGGGAAGTTTTCTGAACTCTTGCCTTCATTCCCAGAGCTACCTCAGTTCCTGCGCTCTGTCCGTGGGTCATATTCAGGCACTTTGGGGCTAGAAAAGGCTGTGTGTTCTTAGACACCGGCATATGCTACAGACGGGCACACAACAGGTCAGCAGACACTTCCTTCAGACACTCAGGATCTCAAACTCTTCTTCCAGTTCGAAGAGCTTATCCATGGACTCAATGAGCTCTGTGGAAAATTACAGGAGGTTTTTTTGACTGCATAAATCTATTTATCTACATTAAAAACTAAAGTATTTCCAAGTGTAGCAAACAGAATAGAAGCAGTAGCTTTGGTCCCTCAGTAAATTGCCATTATTGCTGGATTTCCCCTTATGAAGTATCTAACTGTGCAGGGAAAAGTGCAGAAGGCTTGTTTTCCTTCTGTCCCTCCTAGGAATGCAGGAGGTCCTCTAAACAGAGGGTGGAGCCAGGGGCAGATTAAGGCTCACTGGTGCCCGAAGCACTGACCAATCTTGGTGCCCCCCTCCTTTCCACACTGACCCCCAGTCCATTTTAGTTGTTGACCTGTCTGACCAGATAGACAATGCAGGTTGCAGCCGTACAAAAATTTATTCATAGGATACCACAATTTTCACCCTTTTCCCAACTTTGCGGTGCCCCCTTTGGCCCTGGTGCCCTAAGCACGTGCTTGGTCTGCTTCATGGTTCATCTGCACCTGGGTAGAGCAAATTATGTCTGAGAATGGACTGGATGTACCCCTCTTCGAAATACCAGACCCTGACCTCCTTTTGTTTATCTTGTCCTATAAAAGAAGAACTTTGTATCTGCTCTTTATGGCAGCTTGTTCAGCTGGGGCACTCTGATGGGCTCACATCAGAAGGATCATTCTTAATATGACTGCCTGCTTTGTTAGCGAAAAGCCTTGAGTGAACCTTTTTCTCTCCCAGGTTGAACTCGGAGAAGGGGGCATTGTGCTGGAGTTTGGGGGGGAAGACCCTAATACTGATGCAGAGAACTTTGACTCTCAAAAGTTCACCCCCCCCAAAAAAATGTTGTTGGTCTCTAAGGTGCTACTGGACTCGAAGCTAGCGGTTCTACTGTAGACAAACACGACCACCTCTGAAGCCAACTCATTAGGACTACTTATGTCACAAGAAGATAAACACTAACTTAAAGGAGAAGTGGCTACGACCACCAAAAAAAGCCCATCGTGGTAATGGCAGAGCAAGGGATTTCCTGGAGTTCAACCCGCCCTGAGCCTGCTTTGACGGAGAGAGCGGGGTATAAATTAAATAAATAAGTAAAAAACCTAGGGCTCCCCTCCGGTACTCTAGATGCGGGTGAAGTGCACTATTAGCATGAGATGGATTCTCCATAGCCACACGCAGAGTAAACGATGAAAAAGCCCCTTTAAAAAGCCGAGCCTTCGATTCAGTCCCGTACCTGCTCCAGTTGTCGTTACTTCCGGTTTTGTAGGAGGTACGAAGGGAGGCCAGTGTGGGGGGTGCTTCTGAACCAGCTCAAACATACGCAGACTCTGTTGCTTGTGAATCTCCTGGGGGAGGACAACGGTTCTTGAGATATGCCTCAAGATGAGAGACTCCCACCCCCAGAAGTCTAGCTGTGAACTGTGAACGCACCACAGTCGGCCTTCGAGGGCCACCATGTCCTATTATAGCTTGCATCGTTCTCCCGATTGAGGACATTCTTCCTGACCGAGTCAAAGCTCCTCATCCTCCTCTCTTAGGAGCACCTGTTATTTCAGTATGCCGCAACACAGTATGCTTCAATGGAGCTCTGGTACGTACCTCTGGAAGCCTGACTCTGCACACAGGCGGCCATTTGAGGACCCAAAATACCCTCAAACCCCAAACTATTGCCTGTGGGATTTGATGACACCCCCAAGCGGTACTCCACTGAATCAAATTAGTAGTTCCTAAACACTAATCACCTGTGGCACTATTTGAACATGTAAGAGCACATGCCATAATAAGCACACAAATGCAGGCGCCCAACAATTACTCGTATAGTGAAATTACCTTTGTGCCTGCCTTTTCATTTCCCAGCTTCTTGCCTCCCTCACCCCTTTGCACTTTCTCCTTAACGCCTTTGCAATTAAAATGTTTTTTAGTCATTGCATTCAGTGCTGTGACATCACAGCAATGCAGCCAATGGCTACAGAGAGATACCTTAACAAGGAAGCTGGAAGACCTGCTAACTGGGGAGTAGCAAACATCGCAATTCACATTTCCCTCAGCTTTTGTTTTTGTAGTTTCCGGGTTTTGTGCTACTATCGCTGGAAGAACTCTAAAAGATCATCCCAAACCAGTATATAAAAAGCTGTAAACCACAGAGATATGTCTTTTTTTTTGGGGGGGGGGTCTTTTATTTACAGTGTAACAAGTCCGCCTATGCGAATTCAATTCAGAGGGTTTCCTAATGCTTACCTTTTGCACAAGGCTACACCAGTTATCAAAGTCCTTCTCTTCTTTACAAAAGAAGCCCTGTAAAATTACAAGCATATTAAGTTACATATAATTTAAAAGTTAAGGTAATTACTAAATCAGAACACTGAAACCCACTGGTCTGTATAGTAGTTCAGACAACTATCAGGTGAAAAGATGACAGCATCCAGATCAACAAAGTCTTTTATCCACACAGTGTTTAATAAAGCCATTTTGACTTTGTTTTGTACACCATTCATTCATTACTCCACAATGGTTTTATTTATAGGATACCACTGCTTGGTACAAGTAACAGACCAGGCAATCGTATGCGTTCTGTACTGCGGTTGCCCAATGAACCAGCAGAAATTCTGCGGAGAAAACTTTCTTCTTTTTTTAAAAAACCAAGATCACTTTCCCCTCGTCCAGGGGTCCCCAACGTGGTGCCTGTGAGCACCCTGGCCCCCCCACCAAGCATTTTTAGAAAGTGGGTGGAGCCACATGAGGGGCTTTCTGATTGGCTGTGCAGATTAAGATAACACTGTTTTCAGTGACAGCTGCCACCACAGATTTGGTTTTATTGTCTGTCTCTCCTTTCCCAGGGCATTTTTAAAATCAGCCCTCTTCTCCCCTGCACTTGAGCTTCTGCTGTGTGTGGCTCCACCTCCTGTGGCAGCCATGTTGTGATTGCGCGCGCACACACACACACACCCCGTGTCAGAATTCCTGGGCTCCAAAAGACTGGGGACCCCTGCCCACCCTAATTCTTTCTCGGGTTGGGGGCGCCCCTGAACTGTGAACTGAATTCCACGGATCTCTTCCATTAGCAGCACTTTCCCACAGCGCAAGAAGCTTCTTCCTGACTCAAGGGGTGCGAGGAGAAGGCACTGCCGTTAGCTGAACAGATCCACAGAATCCAACCCTGTATCCGGACTAGGGGTGGGCGCGCGGTATAAGCGGAGCCAGAAAAAACCACCGATAAATCCATTATCGGTATTTTCCAAGAATTTTCCCTGCTGATCACTTAGGGGGCTAGTGAGTCCGCTATCCAAAAATGGCCCACTGTTACAGGGCATTTAATGGGCTCTCTGTTCCTTTAAATTTGGTGCCTCTCCCTCAAAAAACAGAGCCCCAGATACCCCTGGACTGATTCTCTATTATAGGCTACAGGGACCATGGGCTATAATGCTCCCCACAGGGTATAATGGAGCAGGGGAGCAAAATCATCAGTCCCAAATATTTCTTGAATCCCAATACCATACCGATACTGGGATTTGGGAATATCGAGAAATAGTGACATTTTTCGGGTTCAATATGAACATGAAAAATACTGGTTTTCTTTGTGCACACCCCTAATTCGGACCATACCAGTTTTGGACTGCAGGTAAGGGCTCCCATCACTGAACACTTCTCTACGCAACGAAAGGTGAAGGGTTTTCCCTTGAGAACTTGCCACTGCGGAGAGCCTGGGGGCCAGTACCTTTTTTGCACAAGAGGGGAGCTGTAGCGGCAGTAAGAAAGCAAAGCAAAGCTGATCCGCTCACTAGACTGGGGTCCATTTTACGGATGGGGCTCACAGGGTCCTGGCCCTGTCTCTGCAAGGGCAGAAAGAAAAGCCAGGGCAGGAAATGCACCATGAGGCTCTGGAATGCGGTCCAAGGAAAACAATGTGCTCCTCTGCATTCCGCCTTGCGCACGTTTCGTCCCACAACACCTACCAATGCTACGGAGGGATCCAGATTCAGAATCTTCATCCGATGTGGTGCTTGCTGGCAGTGGAAGCTGTGGTCATCCACCATACCATTTTCTTCAGAGTCTACAAAAAGCTGGGTGGTGTGAGGATCCAAATAGATCAACTCGTTTCCTGTGGAGGGAACTGAGTTGTTTATTGGGAACAGGGAAAACCAAAAAGGGCGCAGTCTTGCATTACTGATGGGAAGCCCCGAGAGATGCCCGAAGGGCTCTGCTGCAGAGGAAGCTGGGCCCTCCAGAGGCATTAAGGCACGTTGCAGGCAATATTCCCTCTAAGCTGTGGAGTCTTGTGAGCAAAAATTCTACTTTGTGAGCTCCTGGCATTAAAGTTATGAGCAGCAATTTGGCTACTGCATAAATTACTTGGTTCTGGAACCATCATTCCTGAGCTAAGACGAAAATGTGTGAGCTAGAGGCTAAAAACTGTGAGCTAGCTCACACTAACTCAGCTTAGAGGGAACACTGGTTGCAGGCTATTTGGCCTGACCTTTGGCCTCTGCTGCTTGGCTGACACTCAGCACCTCCAGAGAAAGCGTCTATGCTGTCCTAGACAACACCTGCAACAGGGTCCTATTGCGAGTGCTCACAATTACAACCTCAGGAGAGGGTTTAAGCCGCTGTCTTGATTTTGAGATGATCACAAAGGGCTGCATTTGAGACCTTCTTTGGATGTTATCCTCCCCCCTCCCCTTTGTCTTTGGAGAGATGACATAACAAGCTATCTGGGGTTCAGGAACATCTTAAACCTGCTGCTTTCACTAGGGGGAAGTCACAGAAATGCACGCGAGATTCTCGGTATTCTCCCAGCAGATGGGAAGTCCCACATTCACATAATCCGGGAACATTCCATCTTGAATCCCAATTTCTGCCTGATGTGGGGAGGGAAGGCGCGGATGTGCTACAGGCCTACTCCAGGTTTCTTCTTCTGAATAGTACTGGGGGTGAGAGAACTGAGCGTCCAAAGAGGCCTGCTAACCTCCATTTTACAGACGACAGTTTGGATTAAAAAATTTCAACGGATTCATCTGTCATATCCCAGAGCTGATCTATCCACACCTTCGGCAAGAACTGTTCACAAACATGCAATACCCCCATTTTGTTTCTTTCCTAAGGCGAGAGGGGAGATTTCGTTTAGTACAAAGCACCATCGTGAATATTGTCTGTCGGCTCTCGTTTCCCCCCCCCCCTTGCCCTTCATGTGGCCGTAATCACACGACATAATTCCAGCTTTAACAGATAATGCTTTGAAGGAGAGGTCTTCCTCTCTCCTCTAATACATTTAATTTAGATTGAATTATTTGTACCACATCTTTTCTCTTGACTCAAGGAGGCTTATAGGATTAATTACACATTAAAACCAGAAAAAACTCCCAAATACCCCCCCCCCAAAAGATGTCCACTGCTCATTTGCCATCAAAAGCCCAGACCAAGAAACAAAACGTGCAGTTCCACTCAAAGATCTCTAACAAGAGGGCTCCCCTTCACCTCTTAAGGGACCCTGTTTCACAAAGTGGGAGCCGTAATAGCAAAGGCCTGGGCTCTGGTTGACGCCAGCAGGTGGCAGCCTGAGATTGTAGTAGGTGCACAGGAACATATGGGAGAGGACCGGGGGTCATTTCCTGCAGGAGCATACAGGAGCAAAGCTCCGGCAGTAAAGAGCCCAAGGGGTGGGCACATGCAACAAGCCCCACCCCCTGCTACCAGGAGCCCTCAGTCAGAGCAAGAAGCAGCCAGGTAAGCTGCAGAGCCCCCCCCCCCCGGCCCAAAACAGTCAGTCCAGTGGTACCTTTAAGACCAAGTTTTATTCAGGTACAAGCTCTCCCTCCTCTGCAAGGACAGATCTGCGCGTTCCCCCCGCCCCATAGCTAGCAATCCAAAACAGTCCAGTGGTACCTTTAAGACCAAGTTTTATTCAGGTACAAGCTCTCCCTCCTCTGCAAGGACAGATCTGCGCGTTCCCCCCGCCCCATAGCTAGCAATCCAAAACAGTCCAGTGGTACCTTTAAGACCAAGTTTTATTCAGGTACAAGCTCTCCCTCCTCTGCAAGGACAGATCTGCATCTCCCCCCCCCCCAATAGCTAGCAAACCAAAAGAGCCCAGTGGAGCCTGAGCAGTGGGTGTTGCCTTCTGACACACTTCCGGTGATGTCAGGGGGTGTGGCATATGCAAATGAATTATGCTAATGAGCTCCTGCACCTCTTTTTCTACGAAATGACCCCTGGAGAGGACCATCCTGTAGAGATGTGGGCCACAGGATGTGAAGGGCTTTAAAGGTCATAACCAGTACCTTGACTTGAACTGGCAACCAATATAGCAGTTTCTATCAGTTATCCCCTGACAATAATCACTGTTGCCAAATTCTGGACCAGCTGCAGTTTCCAGGTTGTCTTCAAGGGCAGCCCAACCTAGAACACGTTACAGTAACCCAACTGTGAGGTTACAGTTATTTTTTCCTCCTTACCTAAAAATCCTATAAAGTAGTAGGCATTGTTTGGTTTTCCTCCTAAAGCTCCCAAGGACTGTGGCATCTTAAAACACTCCTGCAGATCCAAAAGGAGAGAGAACAGAGAGGTATTAGTTGCTCCAAGCACCTCCTAACAAAACCACCAACTAACCAGGTCAACTACATGTGCTGAGAGGGCGTCTTACCTTAAAAGCATCGACATAAACCGGATTGATGTGGTTTATCCCCAAGCGAAGAGGTACAATCAGCAGCAGAGGCTTCCAGCTGCAGCAGAACTCTGCCGGGCTCTTGTTTCGGCCCAGCACACCCTTGTGCAACAGAGAACTGCAGTGGGCACTGGGGCAGTTCTGGGAAGGGAACCAGCACATCTTCTCTGGGAATAAAGAGACAAGAAGGCCTGCTTGCTGAAGACATGCTTGTTTCCTTTTGACCAACACACACTCACATACACACACACACACACACTTTGCACAAAACGGCTTCCTCCGCCACTTCATCAGAGGGGGAACACCTGCATGCCCATCTCTGTACACGGCCACCTGCTCACTCACACACAGTGTACCATCTTCACTGAAGGGAACAGGGAAGTTCCTTGACCATGAGAAATTGTTGGTCAGGGCAGAGACCTCAAGGAAGGTTGCCAGCAGCAAGGACCAAAGCCAAAGAAGTTCTGCCTGCACAACTTAAATCAGTTTGGATGGCCACCAGTATCGACAGTCCAGCGAAGGCTTGGGGAATGCACATAAATGACGCTTTCTAACTTAAGTGACTAGCAAGAGTGATCAAGCCTTTGTGCTAGTAAGATAATATACTCAAGAGGCGGCATGTGCCACGATCTTCAACTGAGCAAGGCACAAGAGATTTCAAGGTAATCAACCTGCTAAGACCACTCCCCCCCCCAGCTCACAGTCAGACTGCTGGCACCAATGGCCGCAAAGTGGCTTCAAAGCCTCATGACTTCTGCGGTAAGGAATCAGCTCCATGCGGTAACAGAATGAGGTGTGGCCACCTGGCATGCAATGGCCAATACACTGGCTTTAGGAGGGGGAGATGGATTCATCGGGCAGCCTGTTGGCCACTGAGCTTGCCTTAAGGAAGGCACTATCGGAATTCCTGCTAACTCGTTCCCCAGACATTCCTTGTGATTTTACATGGCCGTGCAACAATGCAGAATGGAATTTATCTGGAAAACAGAACTGGCCTTGCTTCTCCAAATGCAGTATTACTGGCTTTCAGGTTTTCATAGACAGACACTGGGGTGCAGCCCCAATTCAGTGTAAAGCTTGGGCAAACCAGAAACCCTGTTAAAGGCACTGATATGTTCAACTTACTGATGTCTTCAATCACCACCGTGTTGTCCATAGACACGTAAACGGCCAAGGAATTCCACTCATCAAACAGTGCAAGTTTCCTGAATGAACAACATGAAAAGCCATTCATGAAGAGATGTTCCCATTTCAGGTTCAAAGTCCCACCTTCACTATATCTAGAGATACCAGATTAGACATGCTTTGGAGAAACAGAAGATTCCAAAGGCATCCTAAACTATGATGCAAGGAAAGGGGACCATTTATGGACGTTTATGTGGGTTATAACAATGGATAATTTCCTTCTTATACATAGTTCCTGCCTGGATGTTTTTCCACATACTGCCATGTATATGCCACAAATGAATAATACACTGTCGTTATTGCAGTGCTTTATAATCCCCATATTACAAACAGGGCCGGCCCCAGCTTATTTTGCACCCTAAGCGAGAATACTTTCTGCCCCCCCCCGCGCCCACCATTTTTCAAAAATAAATGCATTTTTGGAAGAATGAAAAACACAAATAATCAAGAAACTCTCAGAGTACGGGGCTGGGTGCAGTTTGGCGCCCCTAAGGGCCGGCCCGCTCTAGGCGATCGCCTAGTTCGCCTACTGAGTGAGCTGGCCCTGATTACAAACGCTCACATGATGAAGAAAGGCTGTCAGACCACTTAATGTCATCTTGCAAGAGGGAGGGTGAAATCTGGGCCAGAATGTAGCCCCAGTCCAGGGGGGAATCAAAAACTGTTGCAAGCAGCTCACTGGGGTCGTGTCTTTTTTAAATAACTAAAATTAACAGTACAAAGTTTGAGTTCAGTGGCACCTTTAAGACCAACAAAGTTTAATTCTGGGTATAAGCTTATAGGAGTCAGAATTAAACTTCGTTGGTCTTAAAAGTGCCACTGGACTCAGATTTTGTTCTGTCACTTCAGACCAACGCGGCTGCCCACCTGAATCTGAAATCAACAGTGAAAATGATCTTTAACAGAGATGTGTAGATTGTCAACAGTACGATGGCAAGCTGGCAGTCTGGTGCAGAGGTGCAGAGTCGTTTCCAAAACTGCCATTCAGCTGTCAGTGTTCTCCTCCACTCCCCCCTCACCCACCGTCCTTCTTGAGCCCAGGGGGACTGGCCTGTTCTGCAGGGCCCGCAGGGGATGTCGGCCCAGGCTCTCGCCTGCCAACACTGGGGACACGAGTGAGCTTGCTTCTCCTTTGGAAGTTAAGTTCCAAGAAGAGGTGGTGGTGTCTGGAAGCCTTTGGACCAGCCATGGGAGGGCTAAGCGGAGAGCACTGGATGCTACGGCAGCAGACAAGACCAACAAAGTTTTATTCTGGGTATGAGCTTTTGTACAGGTGCGTCCACGTCAAAGATTTATGCCCAAGAATTAAACTTTATTGGTCTTAAAGGTGCCACGGGAACCACGCTTTGTTCTCTTGGGTGATCTTGAGCCACTCGGGGCCTCAACCCAGACATCAGGCCAAACCACCCATTTGTGCCTACCTTTGTTCAGAATTCAAAGAATGGTTTGAACTTCTGTGTACAGGCAAACCAGGGCTAGAGCTGCTTGTCCAACTCATTTCGCATCTACTTGGGTCCAGACATGCTAGCCCTCTGGAGACTGGGGGGCAGCCTCAACCGGCTCATCAAGTCAAACACAGCACCAGACCGCAGTTAGCACAGACCACAGCTTGCAAGCTCACCTCAGACTCTAACTCCGGTTTGCTAGCCCAATCATAAACCATGGTTTATCAATGCAGACAACATTTGTTGTTGTTCAGTCGCACAGTCGAGTCCGACTCTTTGCGACCCCATGGACCAGATCACGCTGGGCCTTCCTGTCTTCCGCCGTCCTCTGAAGTTGGCTCAGTTTCATGTTCGTTGCATCGATGACACTGTCTAACCATCTCATCCTTTGCTGTCCCCGTCATACCAGGCCAGAATTAAGCTTCCTTAGGCTGAAGGTGGGCACTTTTCAGCCTAACCTACCTCAGAGGATTATGAGGATATAACAAAAAAAACACCCACATGCACCTTTCCTTGGAAATGTGATTAACAACGTGATGCAGGAAGAATCTCAATGGTGCAAGAGCTGGCGGATATGCATGCAACTGAAACAGAGGGCGAGGAGTGGCCAACGGTTCCACTTACAGGATTCTGCGAGGTCTTTTTTGCCTGCATGTGGGAAAGTATAAATCCTACACACAACACAATGTATATACGCTTGCTTACTTTAACACTTGGGCCACGGTGTTTGGTCCAAACCATTCGCCAATGGACTTCCCTTCGCCAACACCCATCTGTGCTGTGTGGATCACAAACAGACACACGGAAGAATAGAAGCGTCAGGAAACTGCACGCAGGAAAGGGCATATTCTCTGAATTACCGCACTGTACACATTCCCGATTCATTGGAGTGATCTGCTTCCGGGATTTGCCACTTTGTTCAATGTCGAGGGTCACGCTGGAAGATTATTATGAGTCAAGAGAGCTTCAGCTAGATTGCACAGACTGTTAGATGATATTTACAACTCACAGAGATGAGGTAACAGTTCTGAAGTCCCAAAATCGTGCAGACATTTTTTTTTTAATTGGGACAGCAACCTCCCCAATGAACTGCCTTTTATCAGGGAGTAAGAATTTAGTACCGCTCAAAAGCTCACTGTCCTTTCAACACAACTGGTTCGCCAGGATGTGCTGCCGAAACCATTTCGATCCGACGTGATGCTAGTTTTGGATCAACACTGTTACCTCTCTTAAAATAATACAAACAGGAAGACTTTGCTTTCTCTTGTGTCCATGTGTTAATATCAAAGTAATTTTTTTTTATATCAAAGTAATTGAGGCTTCTTGTATCTCTGCTTTTTTGTGGGCCTTTAACATCTGTTGGTATTATACACACCAGTTACCTGTAAAGCAGTGGACAACGCAATTGCCAAACAATACCAGATGAACAATAGATGAAGGAGAGGGGAAGAGGGTCCAGGCAACTCTCAAATATGACCATCACGCTGTCTTCCACAATACAGTGCCCCACACAAGCTGGGTTCAGCTGAAGGAAGTCCTGGTTATCTGCTTTAAATGTACCGGAACCCTCTATTTCCCACCTGCCTGTAGATGCTTGAGTATTTGCTACTCTTGATTCTTCTCCATATATATATATATATATATATATTGTTATTGGCTCTCCTTGCAGCTTTTACATTATTGCAAGCTGCTTTGGGAACTAGTCTTGAGTGAGAAGGCAGACAGGAGTTAAGTGATGAATAAAATAACTGTCCTATTGCTAGGACATTTATGAGAGCCAGTTTGGTGTAGTGGTTAAGTGTGCGGACTCTAATCTGGGAGAGTCGGGTTTGATTCCCCACTCCTCCACTTGCAGCTGCTAGATGACCTTGGGCAAGCCATAGTTCTGACAAGAGCTGACCTTGAAGAAGAGCAGTTTCTGTCAGAGCTCTCTCAGCCCCAATTATTATTATTATTATTATTATTATTATTATTATTATTATTTCTACCCCACTTTTCTTTTCAGAACAAACAAACCTCAACAATGTTTCTACATTCACATCTAAACAAAGGTCTAACTTACTCCTTCCGTACACAGTAACTTTGACAAAGAGGTACAGTGTTTTATATAATGTGACAGACTACATTTTCCAAGAGCTCCAAAAGTGTACCAAATAAATAACTTGGAAAACGGGGTGGATGGAAGCATTTAAAACCACTTTTACCCATTTGGTGGATGGAATAACAGCAGTCTTTTCTGTCCAGGAAACAGCGCAAGATCCTGTGATATTCCTCGGGTGGCTTTCTGTGTTTCTCCCACAGCCAATCTGTGAAAATTATTCCAGATTTTAAACATCGCCGTCTCTTTCCTCGCAAAGCACCAGAGTCACAGCGGGTACCAAATGGATTCACAGCCTGCGGGTGGTGGCACTTTATCTCTGAAACTCTCTCCCTAGAGAGGTCCTTTTGCCACCGTCATTTTTAGGCACTAAGTGAAACCCATTTAGTTTTCTCAGTCCTCAGCAGGGTTTTCCAGAGTTCAGTCTTTAAATTTATGACTACTTCAGTCCTATGCTTTAAAGGTTACACTTCGAACACTGCCTGTGAAAAAGCAGCACAATAAATATTTTAACTTAGTGAATAAAGCCCAGCCACTCGGAAAGCCGATGGGTGCCGTCCAGGGAATTTAAAACCCTCAAATCAACAGGACTTACTTCTGGTCTACATCCCTGGCTGAAGTCTGCAACTTAAAACATATCACCATGAGAGTCAAAAGTGCTACTGCTGGAGCACTCCTCAGCCCCAAGATTCTGCAGAGACACCCTAGATATCATCTGTCTTTCTTGCCTGAGCTTCAGTGCAGGTTTGTGGGGGGAAGGAAAGAAAAAATGACATTCTCAGAATTCACGTCCAGGAAAAAAGCACACTCACCCCGTCCCAAGTGCCGGCAGATCAGCGCCTGGGCCAGCATCATCTGTCCGCATCGCAGCATGCAGCCCCAGCCGGCATCAGAGGACGGGCCCGTGCCACCTACGTCACGAATCACCACGGTTACGAGTATAACTGGATGCCCCACCCCCAGAACCACAGGATGGCCGGCCTCCCCTGGGTCACGTGTTTCACCAAGGGTCACAGAAAAATGCTTAGTACCCGCCTAAACTCTGGCTGGAACAATTACTTGGCCTCAGTTTGGTACCAGCATAACGGCTAGAAATTTCACGTTGGATTTGTTTCTGGTAAGACTACAGCAACGCAGAAGAAACACAGACCTACTCCCCATCTCATAAGAGCAGTGAGCAGACCTCTTGAGTCTTTGAAAGTCAGATGCTCCCGGAGGGAAGGATGGTCTTTACACGCCTCTCCTCAAGTTACAGAAAGACCACGGAGAAGGAAAGTGACTGTCACTAATTACACCTGAGGGGACTGCTGGAAGATATCCATCAGCTATAATTTTGTAAATTCCAGAGGTCCTCTGGATACAGGCATGCGTCTAGAAGAATTAAGGCTACTGGGCGATAACAGAACAATCCCACACCCTTGGGCACATGGATGCAGATTCGATCCTTTTACACGCCTAGGAAACAGTAAAAAGTCATAAGACCTATTTTTCAGAATTAATTGTTCACTCTTCTACATGGTTCGTATCCCAGGAAGCATACCTACCAATGGGTGAAAATTTTCTTCTGTATGTAAACCAAAGACGACCGCTTATATCAGAGAGCAGTTTAGATTTATCTAGAATTTAAAAACAAACAAAAAGCATTACGATGGGGGCCCAAATGCCAAGTTATCCGCAGCATGTTAATCTAACATCTGCAACAACATTCGCTGATCTCTCTCATCTAGCAGGCACCATCAGATCCTCAGAAGCTGAGGGTGGAGTAAGGAAGTAGCCACCATAAAACAGACTTGGCCCTCTCCCCTTTTTCTTCAGTACCAAGTATAGCTGCTGTGACAGCTCATTGGAGATTTCGACTCTCCAAGGCTGAAACTACAGGGTCTATGGAATTGTTCCATTTCTACTGTGTCTTTCATGGCTAAATAACCCCCAAGTTAAATGGGGTGGGGGACTGATTCCAATTCCTCAACAAAGTTTAACTTCCATGATTCTTCTAGGCGGGGGGTAGGTGGGGGAAAGGAATCCAAAGCCTGCCCAGACTGCTTTAAGTCCACGTGCCAGGGCGGGTGGAGAGGCGTTGTTTAACCCTTCCCCCTCCAATACTCCCCCCCCCCCGGTCAACCATCACATTCCGTCTTCAGTTGGGGTGTGTGTGTTAAAGGGTAGGGTTTCTCAGTCAGGCCATCTTCTCAGCTGAACATCCCTAAAAATACAGCCACCCATGTTTATTTCCTAACCACCTGATTACTAGAAATAACTTCGGTCACATTTGAGAAGCATCCCTCATCATGAGAGCGTCCCGCCCTACCTAAATAAATTTCCTGTTAGTGACCTATATCCGTATGCCTGACGTTTCACGTAGTGGGGCTGGTTCCCCAGGATTTCTGCTCTCCACACAAAC